CTTTCACAACTGTACATTGCCACTATAGCATCTTTTTTCTTCTCTTGACGGCCGGTTGGATAAGAATTCAGAATAGCCAGCACAATAATAATTGAATGTTGAAAATTGCAACTTGTTATAAAAAAGTGAAAAAGTGAGAGAATAAATAAGATAATATAAGATGGAGAAAACAATTTGATTAATATATTATTTTTAGAAAAAAATTAACTTATTTATAAGTACATGTAGTAATTAAATAATTATATAATAAAAAAATAATATATAAAACAAATATAAATAATAATAATTAATAATAAATATTGATATTTATTAATTAAATTACTAATTATTATTCATAACATAATTAATCATTAATTAGTTTTGTTTTTTCCGAGTCAATATACTATTTTTTATTCATTTAATATATACGAGTACTAAATTTAAGTTTATTTTTCTCTTTAAAAAAGTATTTATTTTAATAAAAATAAGTCGGTTAATAGCAGTGTATGGTTATAAATAATCTTCGAAAAGTATTTTTCTTTTATATATGTACAACCTCCAAACTTACCAACATTTTTTTTTTGACAGCATACCAACATTTAATTTTAAATACCGTATTATTTGTTTTAAACTTCTAGTAAGTGGATTATATTTTAAACATTTATATAATTATCTTTGAAATTTTAAAGTTTAGAAATAGTTTTTTTTATGTATTGAGAAAAATAAACAAGATAAACGAAAAGAATTAAAATAAAAAAAAATATTTTCTCACCAATTAGGAACTAAAAATAAGAGGATTCCTCCATATAAGTAGTTTTATTTCTAATTCCCAACTCACAAGAGCATGAGCCACCTTGTTTATATTGCGAGAGACAATGATAGATTCAGAAATTTTAAATTGTAGGAGCAATACTTATAAAAGAAAAATTTATAATACTAGAAATTTGATAATACTATTTGAAACTTTAAATATATATTGTTATTAATTTATTACAAATTTTCATATTTTAAAAATAATTAATAATTTTCCTATTTTAATAGTGTAATTTTTATTTATATAAATAATTAAAATTTTATTTGATCATTCTTCTTATTTGATTTTTCATGACGATCCTTATGGTTTATTTGGAATGATGAAAATAAAGGAAAAATCAAAACACACAGACCTTACACTTGAATTTAAATTTTTAAATATATAATTATCCTTCAAATATAAATATCGAATAGTAAAAAAAATTAGGATTGAAAAAACAAAATAAATGAGTTACTCAAAACTAAAAAGGTGAAATACATGAGATAAGTTTTGAAATTATTTTTCTATTTTTCAAAAACTGAAAACAAACACAATCCTTTATATATTATTGGAGAAAAGAAAATGCAATATATATATATATATATATATATATATTAAAACAAATAAAAAAAAGTGGTGGGAGCGATTGCATCTACATTCCATAAGTTGAATATGTCCCTATCGAGAGATACTCACAAAAATAACTCTCCAATCTTAAGTCACTATCCTCCTCATATTGTTGATAATAACCTAAAGCTTGTCAAGATGACTCTCATGATTTTACTCTTGAATCACCAACACCGCCCCCAACATAATTTGATTCACAAATTATGTGCTCCTAACCTGAGTGTCAGCACAACTCCAAATCTTTCACTTTTACCAACAATTTTGCATGAAGTGGATCACCATTACTCGTGAAGCTTGCAAAACCACTCTTCCAACCTCTTACTACATCCCTCACAACACCTCCAAATCCCATAACTCTTTTATCACTCAACCAACTACCATCTATATTCAACTTTAGCCATGGGTATCTAAGGGGGACCAACACACATTCTCCCCCAACTCCTCTTCTGCTTCAAATATGGGAGATTATCCACAATAATTATCCCAATCTGATGTAACACATATTGAGTATTTCTTTTCCTAGAAAATCATATTGTTGCGAAACCTCCATACCCACTAGAGGATCATACTCAACCTTATACCATCTTAATGTTGAATGACAATTAAGAAGCAAGTATTGGTATCATTCATCATAAACACTAGAGCAAACCTCTAACCCATTTGTAGCCATATTTCATTCAAATGAGGATAGCCCCCTAAGGCATGTAATAAAGTCTCCGTTGAGCACAAACATCTATGGCATGCATCACTAGACACAAGATGTCAAGAGAACATGAACTAGTTTGTAGGTAAAGCCTTATGTAATCCTTGTTAAAGAAAGAATATTTAACCTTTTGTGGTATATGCAATTTTCATAAACCCTTCCATATGTGTTGCCACAAACAAGGTGCCTCAATTTGAAGAAAACGAAAACCTGAACTTGTAGTGTAACAGTCTAATACATCACCCTTCCATGAGATATGATCCTCGCTACCCCTAACAAAGAGAATGCTAATCTACTAAAATCGTAAGGCTTACTCATTAGGAAGCTGAGTGTATAAGAACCTGAAATCCCAAACTCCATTCCTTCATCATTGCGCCATTGTCGCTTTCACATCATGAATATGAACAAATGATTAAACTAATTTTTAATAACATTGAGAGTAATAAAAAAAAATTAAGCCTAACAAAGTATTCAGTTAGAAGAAGATTGAAAGGATTGGAAGGGAAGAATGATGTTTTTTTTAAAATATAATTTTATTGCTCGGGGCAAAATCTTCCTGGAAGTGGTGTTCTTGGAGAACTCCACCGCATGCTGTGCTGGATAGCTTCTTCCTTGATTTAGCCTTCCTTTAGTTGGTTCTTTTCCTTTATGCTGTCTTTGTTTCTTTGCTTTCTTATAATACAAAAAAAAAAAAAAAAAAAAAAAAAAAAAAAAAAAAGCTAAGAGAAGAGAATATATATTTTTTCAATCTAATTCTTTGATTCCTCAAATATTTGAGGATTTGGAAAAGGCAAAGTGGTGTATTGACTAAACTATACATCTTTACTTATTTTTGAAATCTAAAATTACAATACATAAAACTATAAAAGTAAATAAAATTTTAAAACCTTCACTTTCGCTATTGTGAATAAAAAAGAAAATGACCATGTTGCCTCCTCTCCTTTTGTTTAATCAAAATTCCTCTCATCATTTCCATCTCTTCTAGTAAAATTTTTCTTTCGCTTCCTTAAACCAAACAGTTTTCTAAAAGATTATTTTATATTAAAATAACGAATGAGAGTGTAATATATTAATCTTTTCAAGAGGAAAATATAATTTTAAAATAAAAATAACAATATAATTTAAGATTCTCTTGAAAGAAACAAGTACAGGATATATTTATATATTTGGTCTATTTAGAGTAATTTACAAGATTATTTATTGTTAAACAACGAAAATACAAAAAAGTTACTTCAATAAATTCTTAATTCAATAATAAAAACACTTAAATATATTTTCAATCTTTATAAAAAAAAAACGTATTTTGGCTTTGGTCTCAGTAAAAAAAAAAACTTATTTTTCACCCTTGAAAGACTTTTAAATATTTTTTTTCTTGTAAAATAAATAATTCTTTGTATCATTATAAATATTTTTCTTTAATTTTTATTCCCCTAAAATCTAAAATCATTATGTTTTATCTTTAAGAATCATTTCAAAGTAAATAAATAATACTTATGTTAAATATATAAAAATATTTAAAAGTGTCGCGTTAACATAATATTATAAATAATTATAAATATAACATGCAAATATGACTTAACTTTTTTACTAAACACATAAATAATTAAAAAAAAATCTCTTAATAATAGAAACTAAACAATAATTTTAAATTTTGGATGATGAAAAATATTTTTTTTATAAATTAAAATCAAAATTTAATCTTTTTGAGATACCAGTAACGTATTTAAGTGGTACAAAAATTGAATTCAAGTTTTTAATTAGAAAGTGGAGACCTGAATTGGCACTTTTTGGCTACCGTTAATCAGGTTTTGGCGGAACTTTTACGAATAAAAAAGGTAGAAGGCCATTTGCAATATCAGAAAAGCACCTTGTATTTGTTTTTATCTACAAATCTATAAAAATGAAACGACAAAGATATCTTGTTCAGTCTACAGAAGAAAGGATTGCTGAGTTTGGTTTTTGAATAATTAGAGGAAGAAAGTGCAAAGCAGATCATGAAATCAAATTAAAGAAGAACACTGAGATGATTCCGATTCGGATACTCAATCCAGATGATGTGCCTTCAATCTGTCCTATTATCTTATCCTATGTATTCCTCAACCATTGGCCCTTCCTAACTTAATATGTTCATTTTTATGACAACGTTATGCATTTTTTTTTTAACTTCCGCAACATTCACCATCATTCATTCCCTTTATTTATTCTTTTCTTACCAACATTAATTGCTTTTACTGTGAAAAAGATCTAAAAGTAAAATTATATATTGAACCTTGCATAACAGCATAAGTAATAATGGTTAACTATAATTACTATTCTTATATATATATATATAATTGTCCTTCTATATTTACACTAAATAAAATTTTATATAAGGATGTTGTTTAAATTAAACGTCCTTATAAAATTTCCAACATCTAAGGATGTTGTTTAAATAAGTTTTTATACATTTAAAATGTATTTAGCAATATTTTCTCACGATTAGATTTAGTAACCTATTTTTTTAGTTTAAAGCTTAAAAATAACGTTTGTGTTTTTATATAAATTAAAAAGGTATCTTCTTAAAAAAAAAAAATCAGTGCCATATAAAAAGGCTTAGTTAAAAGCTTTTAAAAATGCAACCCTAATTTTAGAACGGTATGATAATCCATTTTACGAAATAAACTGATATAATATCTTGTTAAAATGTTTGGTGGCAACTCTCTTCAAGAAAATGTTAACTTGAGGTGCTAGTTGAGTAGTTGTGATGAGTTAAAGCTATTTGTTTTATGTATGTTCAATAACTTTTTGGGGGAGTCTTCACTGACAAATTCAACACGCACCCTACTCATCTTAGTACGTAATAGCGGAAGTGTCTCATGATTTTACGACAACTTTCATTTACCAAAAAGAAAAAAAAAATGGAACTAAAAGTCTAAAACCTTTATAATTTAATGGCTACAATAATTACCCGTCCCCCTTTGAGTGGAAAATGATCCATGATGACGGGGCAGCCTATGCTTAAACACAAAGTTGTAATTTGGAAGTAATGGAGAGAGTAATGATAATAATAAGCATGAGGTAGGGTGGGAAAGTTTTTGGTTAAAGATATGAATAAGATTTGCATCCTATGAAAGTGATCATGATCATTTTATTTAAGAAAAAAAAAAGTCAGAAGAATCCATTATTTTTGGGAGGTTTGTTTCATGTGATATTGAAAAGAGTCTAGCATGGTCTCTGGCACAGAGAGGAGGAGTCTGAGGGATTGAGCGTCCCCGGCAACCGGTAAAAACAAGCAGTAAATATCACTAGTCAAGGGACCCATCTGCAAAGGCTTGCCCTCTCCAAAGTCAAGGTCCTCCAACCCGAGCTTTGACCACTGGGAAATGACGAAAGTAGTGGAGAGATCCGTTTTGACCCTTTTGTCCTCCAACAAATCAACCATGGACCTCACATACTCCTCGCTCTTCACCCTCGCCTTCGCTTCCTGCACAACCCTCACAGCCTGGCGCAGGTTAGACCCAACCAACTCCTGGACGCTGCTTTCGGCGCACGCTAGCACAAAGCCGTTCCCGTAGTACCCTTTCGGAAGGTTAAGCACGCCTCTAACGTTCACCGAGAAAAGAAGTTTCACAAGGAGCGTCGGGGGTAGGCTTTGGTTGAGGGAGCGAATCCAAGAGCGCCACGTGTGTGCGGCCAGGGTCTCGAAGGAGGTGCACTTGAGGGAAGGGACGCACTGCTTCTTTAGGCAAAGGAGGTGAGAGGGGGTGAGCGTGAACGAGGTGGCTACCAATGTTTGTGATTGTATCAACCGAAGGAGGTCCACTTCAGGGATTGGGCTTGGGCTTGGCCTTGGGCTTGGCCTTGGTGCGCTGTAGGAGGGGTGACGGAACTTTACCTGGGCGGGGTCTCTGGGCTTCAGCACGTGGCGCCAGTGGAAGGGGACCACGGTCAAGTCGGATTCGGGCTTTCGGGTGAGTTCGGCCCAGGCGTGTAGAAACTGGGACGTGCCTATGCCGTCGCATAGGCAGTGGCTGATCGCGGTGCACAGGATCATTCCCCCGCAACCCAGACTCGTTACCTGAATAATTATAAATAAATCACGACACGACACGACACCACACTTAAAATTTTAGTAACACTTGAGTGGATCATGGTCAAATCGGATAAGGTAAATAAATGTAAGGTGGGAATAAAATGTTTATATAAAATATATATATATTTTTTTTTTTTCCGTGTTTGAAAATATATATGTATTCAGGAGTTTAAACTTGCTATTTTACTCACAGTTTCGTTCTGATTCTTAATATTATAGGAACTTTTGGACGATGTATATTGATGCAGCTACGAGTACTCTCATAATGTGGTTGTGAAGACACCAAAAATCTTCTTGTTACTACCAAAATTGTAGTCATAAACCGGTTTTTAACACTTTGGTAAAAAGAAAAGTAATACAGTAGATAGGATAAATAATGTAATGAAAAAGCAAGAGAAAGATAAGAAGAAAATGAGTGTACTTTGAGAATTTTCCATTTTAATACGTAAGGAGGAAGGATAATATTTTTTTTTAAACTAATTTACTTGATATTTAATTAATAAATGGATATATTTGAATTTAAAAATAATACATATATTTATCTTTTTATTTTTTTTATCAAGCAATAATAAGATTATTAAAAATAAATTAACGTTACTTAGAGGAAAAATTCTGTTTTGTGTGGAGGAGAAAACTAGGTTTTGCCTTTTTAAATTATAATCATCAACTTTAATTTAGACGTGTTAAGTAATTATCATTAATTAGTTGTAAGTAATAATCACTAGTTGACTAGTTAGTGTTAATTATTTGTAACATGTTTGATTGATTTTTTTTTTTGGGGAGGAGGGGAGGTCGGTTGTCGGCGATAGTTAAAATTTAAAAACTCTAAAAGGTTAAAAAAAAAATTAACAACTTCATCTAACAGTTGTCTTAAAGTTTTTTTTTTTTTTTTTTTTTTAAATTAAATCGTTTGTTAAACAAATTTTGAACTAAATTCTTTATAATTTGAGTAAGAACCAACAACCAAGTAGATGAAATGGCCAGTTCTAGTTTGTAGATCGACAACCTAATAAATATGTAGTCAATTATAAGATTTTTAATCCGATTTAAGAAATGTCATCCTCAAGACTTTTCCCTCTCATAAATGATCAACAATGACCGACTAACAGATTCATCAGTAAATAATAGCAACCACATACAATCATATATATCAGCTCCACAGGGGATTTATTAATCTTGTAAAAACAAAAATGTAGATGTCGATCTTTTCATTCATTTATGAGAGGCTCCGATCAAGGTTTCTGAAAATGAACTTCACCCGAGTGAAATAGACTACTTGGTAAAGGAAAAGAGAAGCACATATACATCAGGTGGGAAGAAATTCATTCAAAAACAAATTGTCCCCATGATTTTATAGTATATTTCTAGTACCACACATCTTCACGTCAAAGTTCTTTGAACCTAAACCATAAATAGTGGATACTATACAAGGTTAAAATTTTTTTTTTATTAATAGAGAATGGAAAATTTAAGCAAGGCTTGAACTATAAACTATAAACTAGTTGGTCATAGAATTTAATTAATAATAAATAATCTGACCTGTATTACAAGAGGAGGAACATCTACGAAAGTGTGAGCTTCGACCTTATACAAGAACTTCTTCCAAGACTTGTTTGGAGTTTTGGAAGGTTCAAGTAACTGATGAAGAGTGGTGTCGACGAAAGCCTCAGCAAAAAGAGCACCTTCTCCATTGCAATCCAGCTGAAGCTTGTGATCATCAACGTTCCTCAACCTGCCAGCCAAGGGGTAATAATCCACTAGAACTCTTGCCAGAGAAGACTTCAAGATGTCCAAGCTTAGAGCCTTGTTGAATAGGTAGAAATACTTGATGGAGAACCTTAGGAACTTTTGGTCGTCGAGGTTAGACAAATAGAGAGAATGTTTTGGCGTGGGAGCACTAGGGGAAATTGTCACTGGCTTCCCACGATAGATACAATCAGGGACATCCACAGATTGTAACATGTTTTATGAGAGTGGAAGAAAGTGCAGAGAAGGAATTAGAAATGGAGATTGAACCATAGCAAAGGGTGTGTTAAGATGAGGCTGCCCTCCTCCTCCTCCTCATCATAGCTTTTTATATAGTGCTCTTTCTACACTGTCACTTCACTTGTTTAACACAAATTCTAATACCTTTTCTCTAAGAAAATAATAAAAAGGAAAAAAGTTAAGTCAACACTGCAGCAGGTTCTGCTGATAAGAGGGAAGCACTATACACTTTAATTAATCATCAACCTAAGCCACTAAACATTTCAATAATAATTTTCAAAATGTATTAAAGTTTAACAAAAAAAATATTGCAGTTTTATGTACCATGTCTTTTTAATCACATATAATCATGCAGATAAAATTGTTAACTGTTATAATAATTTTTTGTATTGTGAAAATCTTATATACCGAATATATAGCAGGATATGACTAATAAATATTTGGTTTAATTAAGAAAACAATATATATATATTTTTCCTTAAAATTGGATATTCATGAACCAACCTAACCTAGTGCTTTGCATCTGTTAGATGAAAGGTAAAAAGTTATTTGAGAGAGTAGCACGTGTAGGAAATTGAAAAATGGTGGTCGTTTAGGAACTTGAACACGCATGTTGTACTATGAAATGTATATGGACTTGAATAGTCTAGAATTTTCTTTTTCTTTTCAAAAAGGAATTCTGGAGACAGCACCTTTAGAATTTTAAATCATATCATCTAGATAAATTCGTCAAGTTTTAATAATATATTTTCTGTACCATAAAATTAAGACGGATGAGTATGCATGAACTTTTCCTTCTCACTAGAAAGGTCAAACAAATGAGAGCAACACCTCATTTCCAATGTAAACAGAATAATAAAAAAGTATAAAAATGGTGGCGGGAACACTTGTCCTATATCTGGACAGATTTAATAATAATATTGATTCAGATAAGGTAAATCATGCTATTTTATAGCAAATATTCTTCCTTTTTCACCGAAAATATCCAGATCAAATGTCTACGTATGCACTGAAGTATGAACCGAATTGAGTGGATAATTAAGAAATTGAAAATGCCTATTATTCAACCTACGTATAGATTCCCATTATCCTGCTCCTGGTTAAAATTAGGTCACTCGGCCGCAAAACCAAAGCATATGTCACATCTTGGACAAGTGGATTACTTTCATATAGAGATTAGAGACTGTTATTGTTCGTACATATATATGTATATATTTCTATACACGAGTTAGACTTTAGGGGTTGATGCTGGGGCGTATGTAGGTATAATTGATGGATGCATTTGTTTATTATTTGTAGAGAGTATTCAAAAATTAATTATTAAGAAAGTCCTCACATCAATAATAAAATTCAGACTCACTTTCTTGTGGATTATCCTTACTAGATCAATCTTTAGGTATGATATGTCATATATGCATCCATCAAGGTTTAAAAGTTTTATCTTGATCAATTATTAAAACAAGTTCTTTAATGATTAACAACTTTTAATAATAATTATTATTAGTTTTTGTAACATATGATGAATTTGTTAATTTATACTTTATTACTTATGATTAAAATGGCATCAATTAATTAAAATATAATGTAGAAAATACAAGATCTCTTTAGTTTCAGAATATATATTTTAGTTTGTTTAATATTTTCAATAAAAATAAATATTTTATTCTATTTTTTAAAATTTATGCTGGAAATAAAATTAAAAATTTGTACAATCTTACAAGTGGAATAAAAGTAAAAATAAACAATATTTTCATAATTATAAAAAAAAATTAAATGTTTTCTCAAACTAAACATACTATCAAAAACAATCCTAAAAAATATTTCAGAAGATCATTTCCTAATTCCTACCATATAATTTGGTAAAAAAAAAAATCTTACCATATAATTGGACAGCTAATATAATATATATAGAGAGAGATATATATATCATGTAATTCAATATATATGTTGCGGCTAGTGTGTACTATTAATTAAGGAAGTCAATGTGATATGTAACGCACTCGATAATGCTTTATTAATTATGTGTATATAATCAAACATTCTAATTTTACCTTTATTACAAAAAAAAATCTTGTTATATATATAAATGCCTAAACTTATGCATAAAAATATTATGTAATTTTATTATATAAAAAAAAATCAGCAGTGCTGTGTCATATATAAAAAGTGCACCTAGACTTCGAATTTCTGGAAACAATACCATATATATTTATGAGTGCGCACTCATCTATCTTTGACCAGAACTACTTTTATGAGCGAGTAAATAATTACACAATTACTAGCAATTTGAAGTTTAGGACCAACTCATCTATCTTCGACCAAAACTACTTTTATGAGTGCGCACTCATCTATCTTCGACCAGAACTACTTTTATGCTCCTACTTTCTTCCTTGACCGAGGAGGCCCTCTCTGAGACACTCAGTGCTGACACTGCTCGGGATATTTGGAATGCTCTGCATACTGCCTATGCTTCACGCAGCAAGGCTCGTGAACTGCGCCTCCGTGACGAGCTTCAACTCATGCGTCGTGGTTCCATCTCTGTGACAGAATATGGAAAGAAATTTCGCACTATTTGTGATCAGTTAGCTGCTATTGGTGCTCCTATTGCTAATGATGACAAAGTACACTGGTTCCTTCGTGGTCTTGGTCCCTCCTATGCAAATTTTTCCACGGGTCAGCTTGATCAGGTACCTTTGCCTCGATTTACTGATATTCTTTGTAAGGTCGAAAGCCATGCTATTTTTCAGGCATCTCTTGAGGAACCAACGCCCTCTCAGCCAGCTGCCTTCTATGCGAACAATCAACCTCGCTCATCTGGCAATCAGTCGTCTCGCAGTGGTAACCGTGGACATTCCAATGATGGTTCTAATGGTGGTAACCGTGGCAATTCTAATGGTGGTTCTCGTCAACGTCGCAACAACTCTGGTCGTCGCAACTCTTATGTCCCTCGATGTCAGATTTGTCGTGAACAGGGTCATTATGCTAACAAATGTCCTGTTCGCTGGGACCGGTCTTCTGAGTCTGCTAATTTGGCTCAGGCATTTGCTGCCAGTTGCTCGGTGGACACCTCAAACCAGTCAGATTGGTATATGGACACTGGTGCCACATCTCACATGACACCTTCTTCGTCTCAGTTGACTGATTCCCAAAATTATAATGGTACTGATCGTGTTTTTGTGGGTAATGGGACCTCTTTAAATATTACTCATGTTGGTTCTCGTTCTTTATCACATATTGTTCCTTTGTCAGATGTTTTGGTTGTGCCTAATCTAACTAAAAATCTTGTATCTGTTAGCAAACTGACTCGTGATAATCATGCTAAAGCTATTTTTGTGGATGACTCCTTTGTTATTCAGAATCGAAAGACAGGCAGAGTTCTGGCAAGGGGACGATGTGATCAAGGACTCTATGTGATGGATCAAGGACCACAAGCGTTGCTTACTACTAGTTCTTCACTGCCTCGTGCCTCTTTTGAACTTTGGCACTCTCGTTTGGGACATGTTAATTTTGATGTTATTAATAAGTTAAATAAGCAAGGTTATTTAAATGTTTCGTCTATTTTGCCTAAGCCAATCTGTTGCACTACTTGTCAGATGGCTAAGAGTAAACGTTTGGTTTTTTATGACAATAATAAAAGGGCTTCTGCCGTTCTTGATCTTATTCATTGTGATTTATGGGGACCCTCTCCAGTTGCTTCTGTTGCTGGATATTCTTATTTTGTTATTTTTGTGGATGATTTCTCTCGCTTTACCTGGTTTTATCCATTACGACATAAATCAGATTTTTATGATGTGCTTGTTCGGTTCAAAGTCTTTGTGGAAAACCAATTTTCTCGATTTATTAAAGTTTTCCAAAGTGACAATGGCACCGAGTTCACGAATAACAAAGTACAGGATTTATTTGCTTCTTCTGGTGTGCTTCATCGGTTCTCATGCCCGCATACTCAAGCACAGAATGGTCGGGTTGAACGGAAACATAGACATGTCCTTGAGATTGGTCTTGCAATGTTGTATCAGTCACATGTTCCTACTCGTTATTGGGTTGATGCTTTTAGTTCTGCGGTATATATTATTAATCGTGTTCCCTCTCAGGTGCTATCCGGCCAGATTCCATTCACACTTCTATTTCAAGTTGCGCCTACATATGCTAATTTTCATCCTTTTGGTTGTCGTGTGTTTCCATGCTTGCGCCCATACATGAAAAATAAATTTAGTCCTCGGAGTTCTCCTTGCATATTTTTGGGTTATAGTAGTCATCACAAAGGATTCAAATGCTTAGATCTGACCACTTCCAGGATTTATGTGTCTCGCCATGCTCAATTTGATGAAACTTGCTTCCCTTTTGCAGGTTCTCCTTCTTCTAGCATTGATCTTATGGTTTCTTCATTTTATGAACCAATCACAGGCTTCAAGTCTTCTTCGATGTCTGCTTCCTCTAGTCTTCCGACGAGACCACCACCAGTTACTACCTTGTCTTGTCCATCATGTGTTTCCTTGGATGCTGCTCTGGCTCCCCATCCTGCTCCACCTGTTGCACCTGCTTCATCGGAACCTGTCTCTCCTCCACGAACTCCATCCCCAGCATCGACCTCTCCTATAGTGTTGCCTGCTTCTTCTGATGCTTCTATTCAACCAGCCCCGGTTGCTGTTCGTATGCAGACTAGATCACAGAATGGCATTTTTCGGCCTAATCCGCGTTATGCCCTCGCTCATCACCAGCCTACTGCTCTTCTCACTGCTTTGCATGTTGCTTCTGATCCCAAGGGTTTTAAATCCGCCATGAAGCATCCTCAATGGTTGGCAGCAATGGAGGATGAGCTCTCTGCTCTTCGTAACAATCATACTTGGACCTTAGTCCCTCGTCCATCTGCTCCTAATATTGTTGGTAGTAAATGGGTTTTTCGTACCAAACACAAAAGTGACGGCACTATTGAGCGCTTAAAAGCGCGTTTGGTGGCTCAAGGTTTCACGCAAATTCCAGGTTTTGATTACTCACTCACTTTCAGTCCGGTTGTCAAGGCTACTACTATTCGTCTTATTTTATCACTTGCCGTGCTTAATGGCTGGCCACTTCATCAGTTGGATGTAAAAAATGCTTT